GTAGATATGAGACAACTTCTTAGATCAAAGAACTATCAAGTAAGAATTTAAGCCCAAATCTGTCTGACTCAGGTACTCTTCACTGGGCTAGTTTATGAAAAGAACTTAACAACTACCAGAGTTTCTTACCATCTAAAGTTTACATGACTCAGCCCACAACACCTTAATTTGAGTTGAGCTGTGCCAACATATGTTACACTTGAAGGACCTGTATTTTGTTAGCTGAGACTGGAACCACAATGATGATGATGCTGCTCCATACCTCATACAGGGAAACAATTCAAAGTTGCAGATTTCCATATTACATAGAAGGGCTTCTGTTTGACTTGATGCTGATAATTTTATGTAAAATGATATGTACTTTTGAAAGAGTAACAAAAAATTCAAGTGAAAACAAGAAAAGTCTATTAGGAGCTTCCAACAGGGATTATCATGAGCAAACTGCTTAGTCCAATGTTGGGTTGATTTTTGTCAGCACAAATTCTATTGATGAGATGAAAGCAAAGAGTAGTGCTTCACATTTTACACAAAACCACAAGATATATAAGGAGCCAGGGGTGTCTAAGATATCAGAGATGTCTGGCAGAACCATGACTGCTTCATTGGTAGCTGACCATTATAAATGGTATAATAATGGGAAAGGTCAGAGAAGTAAAAAGAACTGAACCTCCCTCAAATTCAGTTCTAAGTACTGGAAGGTTTGACACATTCTCAGGATTGTAAGCTCTTTTTTCCTTCAATACAAAAAGAAAATGTCTAGGCATGAACACACCAAATATATTCTCACAGACATGAACATATTTCAAGGCTATACAAATATTACGGGGAAGGGAAACTAGCCAACTGTAAACACTTTCACTATGTAGGTAGAGGCATGAGAGAGGCATTACCCACTTACTCTCATTGCTCTGGGTTGAGTGAGCAATTATAGCTTTAAGGCCACAAGAAGTCCTTGCCTCTCTTCTGTTAGCATATTACTCAACATCATGTACAAAGAATGCTTCAGGAGCATAGAAATGCCCTAGCAGATCATAACCAAGATGCTGTGAGATGCTTGACCTAGACCACCTATGCCTAACTAACATGTTGGTATTTGGAAAAGTCATAGTTAACTTCAGTTGTTAACTTGTGCTGTGTAGCAAAAAATTCCTGGGAAGATGTAACACACATGTCTATTCACTCCACACAGGGAACCCACAACAGACCAACGCATGGATACCACCAAAGACCAATTTGATGAACCAAAAGGTTTTATTGGGGTTGCTTATAGGAACATGATTCATGTGTAACTTATAGGAATAGAAATGACTCAAAGACAGCTGAATTACCAAAGCCCATCATGGCATGGGTGACAGCTCACCAAAGCTAGGGCTATGGAACACACTGCAAAGCCTGCACGTAGCTCAATATATGGGAGTGTATACTTCCTAAGTATACCCACTAAACTTTAACTACTTAACTCATCTTCAGCCCCACAACCAGAATTAAAACTACTTTCAACAACTTCAGTTCAAGAAACATTTAAAAATTAGGCTAAGAAATGCTGTGGGGGCAATGGTCTTGTACCCTGTACAGATTTGTCACTTGTATTGGCTTAATAAAATGTTGATTGGCCAGTAGCCAGACAGGAAGTACAGGCAGGGTGACGAGAATAGAAGAATTCTAGGAAGAGGAAAGGCTCAGTCTTCAGGGAAGGGGGAGCAGGGGGAGCAGGGAAGGGGCGTGTGAGCACAGCATCCACAAACCATGGGCATATGGGGGCTTGTTTCTTTCACACTGGCAAATTTTTTAGGTGTTAAGAGACCTAAGGTGTCAGATAGCCCCAATTTTAAAAAGATTTTGTAAAAGGCAGCCCAAGGGCATTTGGAGATCAGTCCTTGAACTGTGAGCATGTCTTGCTTTTAAGTCTATGCCAGGACTCGGGATTCAAAACCTAGTGCAGTGTATCCACTGTGATAGAGTCGGGGTAAAAAAGAGAGAGAGAGAGAGAGAGAGAGAGAGAGAGAGAGAGAGAGAGAGAGAGAGAGAGAGAGAGAGAGAGGTGTGAGAAATTCCTTGAAAGTGAAAGACCCCCACAGTATAGACAAACAGCTAAGCAGCAGCAATGCCAGGCTTAAACTTTGGAGCAACACAAGTAACATTAGAGCAGGGAAGTTCAACTTGAGAACAAGGGCGGAGAAGCCAGGCAAGATATCTGCGGTCAGCCGGTCAGCCATCTGGCCCCAAGCGATAAGGAACCCGCAGCTGGCCTGCTCTAATGAGAACATCCCGTTTGCTTAGGGAAACAGGATGCCTATAGTCAGCACATGTGCCCAACTTAGAATATCAGTAATTCACAGAAGAGACAACTCCCCCTATGAAAGATCCCAGCTTGGCTGCTGTAACGTCATTTCACAAAGCTTTTGACGAACGACTGTAAGTGCAGAGTAAGGTCAGGGTCCCTGGCTGCAAAACAGGATATTTATATCCATAGATTCGGACAGGACATCAATTAACAGGATATCTGTTCCCATACATCTGTGCTGGGAAAGGAAAAACCACCTGTGCCCCTTGCCCCATTCCAACTGACCACTAACAATGCATTTGCTTCTGTAATCTGCTTCTGCTGCCCTCTTTCCTATAAAAAGACCTTCCCCCGGTCTGCAGGCGCGCTTTGTCTTTCGAGAGACTAAGTCGCCCCAGGTACCTGTGTACTGAATAAAGCCTCTTGCTGTTTGCATCCGAAGAGTGATCTCGCTGTTCCTTGGGAGGGTCTCCTTAGCCTGAAAGACTGCCCACCACTGGGGTCTTTCAAAAGGATATGTCTTGATGAAGGAACCCCGCAGAGACAAGGCAGGCCCTTGTCCCCCAGAATAAGGCAGATTCTTGTCAAGTCAGGTTGGGTGCCTGGCATGGCCATAGTTTCAATAGGATGGCCCAAATGGTATGAGGCTCTGGGCCTCTAAGGCCATGACTTGGAACACAGAACTTACCCAGAGGAAGTCTATCTTAGCCTGGTAGAGAGCAGGTGCAGGGGGGAAAGGTGTTTTCCAACACATGGACCTGTTCCAGTGGGAAAAACAGCCGCCTTGGTAAAACCTCCAGATGAAAAGTTTTGTGCCCCAATAAACCTCTGTGCTGGCACAATAATCCAAATCAAACCAAATTTGAAAAAGTCCAGGTTTAATGAAAAACAGTGCTCCCAGGTAAAAATGGGAAGGAAGACCGAAAACTGCATGTTTGTTCTCTGGGTTTCTGTTTAAATTCCCTGTAGTAGTGGTCTTGAGCATCTCTGAGGAGGGGTCATCATTTGGTAGGCTTTCTTGGGGGTAGAGTCTGTGCTGAAGCAACTCCCAGGAGAGGGGGTTTGAGATGCTAACTTTCCACCCAAACAGAAAGTGGTGTGATATCATGTGATTATCAATTTATGGAAATAAATGTTAAATAAGAAGAGGGAGTAGAGAGATGGCTCAGCAATTAAGAACACTGGGTGTTGTTACAGAGCCCCAGGTTTCAATCCCAGAACCTATATGGTAACTAACCATTTGTTGTAACTCCAATCCCAGGCATCTCCTTCCATCTTCTGGCCTCTGTAAGTACTGTTCACAGGCACATACAATCAAGATGCTCATATAACTACATTTTTACAAAAAGTTAGAAAAAGGAAAAAATGGAATTCTCTACAGTGATGTCACAACCCTGAGACAGACAGAAGCCAGGGATAGTTTAAAATGAACTCCTTCTGATCTTGCATGGAAACAGTTGTGGTATTCTGCTGAGATAGCCAGCTCAGAGATGAAAGCAGCTTTGTTCTGAGGTTAATAGAGTTCACCATAATCGTCCATCCTAGAGCAGAGTACACAGTGCTGTTAAATGACCTTTCCTTGAAGTTTTCTGAATTTATGTTCTCTATCTTTTGTATCTGTGAGAACTGTGGTATTGATGCAGTTATCTTTTAGATCAAACATCAAGACTGACAGATCACATAGGCTCCTGAGAAATCTGCTTTCACTGTGTCATTTACCTGACTTTCAGCTAAGACCTTGTTGTTGTCATTTTAAAAAGTGGCTCAAAAGAAGAGCTCACATGGAGGGGTTTTTATTAGGGGGAAGGGAATGTGAAAAAAGTGGGAGATGGGGAGACCAGCCTCTGGAGACAGAAGAGAGAGGTGGGGGGCAGAGAGACAGGCAGATGAGAGGAGAGAGAGAGAGAGAGAGAGAGAGAGAGAGAGAGAGAGAGAGAGAGAGAGAGAGAGAGAGAGAGAGAGAGAAAGTATCAAATGTGTGCAGGAGGTGCTCTTAGTGGCTGTAGCTGAGGACATATCCTGTCAGTAACCCAAGGACAGGCCAGTACAGATGCCTGAATACTAACACTTGTGGTATAAGGTGAACATGCCAGAGGCTTTTCTTTCCATCTTTTTTATAATTTATATGTTTCTGCATGACTTTGAAGTAAGAATGCCCCTAAATGTCTCCGCTTTTACATTGTGATCATGTTCAGAAATGGGTTTGTTAACTGAGTCTGCTTAGGAATAGGCTGAAATCTACATGAATGTGTACAGACTCCCTAAGTAAAATCCACATGCTTCCTTTGTTCAGGAAAAGCTTTATTTTGGAAATAACTCCCATGCTTTCCCTGTTTCCTGCACTAAGAATTTTTCTCATTTCTTCTGTCTTGACTGTTGTGATGGCTAATCTTGGAAGTCAAACTGGCTACAAGTGGCAACCAGCTAGTCACCTTGTGTCAAGGAGAAGGGGAAGTGTCTCTGCAGAGTAGGAACGTAGCAGGGTCTGTATTGGAGCCAGGGGCAAGTGCTATGGAAATGCATCTCTGCTGATTCAGAAAAGGTTTTTCAGATGAAAGGCTGGGTCAGGAACCATTGTGCTGTGTCTTTAAGCACTGTATAACCTTATGGGAGGTGCTCTTGTCACTCAGGCCTCAATAGCCAATCATATCTTCCAGGTGACCTGTCAGTCAAGAAGTTGTGCTGGGTCTTTCCGGGCCCAGTTTCAGGCTTTGAAGAGAAGCTGGCACACGTGGTTTTGTGTGCTGTGCTGTGAGTGTTGCTGCAGGCAGCTGAGCAGGGAGCATGTAAAAGCTGGAAAACCACTACATGGTGAGCTTGGGGCTATCCCCAGACTGGGAGGAGGGGCTAGTTGAGCTACAAGAGCCAGTGTGGTTCATCTTCCCCTGGGTGTGTGGGAGCGAGTGATCAGATGCAGAGTTCAGTATATTCTTGCCTGGTCCTGCATCATCCAGCGTGCTTCTGTTGGTCTTTAATGCTCCAGCATGATCTGAGTGGTCCTGCATGTTCTTTGTATCTCCTGGGCCGATTGGCAGTCTCTGAGTAACTTCACTCTCCTGACTGCGTCTGTGCAGAGCACTGGGAGCGGGACTGTGCTTTGAAATATCCTTTTTGAAATCAGCATGAAATGCCGGCTTGTATCGTCACTGTGTAACACAGATTTGCCAAGGTCGGAGAGCCCTGGTCCCTCTAGTATCTTCCAGAAGTTTTGCACTTTGAACATTTAACATTTAGGTTTAGTATCCATCTGTAGTTAATTCTGTGGAGCTTGTAAACAGTAGTTCCTGTATAGAGTAGCACTCCACTGCTACTGTGATGTAGAAGACTAGGATTGATGGTATAAGTTCTTAGAAAATATTAAGTCACAAAGTAGAATTTAGGTAAGGGAGAGTTGCATCCCAAATCCTCCAAAGGTAAATGGTATGCTAACTGCACATGTTAGAGATTAGTATAAGATATAAATGTTTGTTCCCTAGGATTAACCAGCTGCATTCTCAAAACAAAGACGACAACCATGTTTTACAAACAGCAGAAACACCCATCCCTCCATTAAAAAACCATCCTTTTAATGCTGCTCAAGAGACCATGCCAGTGTCACAACCCTATGAAGTCCTGTTGTGCCATAAAGGTATACTTAGGGCGTGGCTAGAGGTGGGGCATCGCTAGGGGTGGGCGGCACCGGGTGGTGGGTGTCTCCAAGGCCGGGGAGGGGCCGGGGTGACCCGGCACTCGGGGTCCATGGGGGACCCCGGGTGGCTGGGGTCCGGGGGCGGGACGTGGGGTCCCCGTGGGGCATGTCCCGGCCCGTGGACGCTCTCCCGGCTAGCGGGGGGCGGCCCTGCCGCTCCCCGGTCCCCCCCCCGGGGGGGGGGCTCGGGACCCGGTTCCCCGTCCGGGAATACGTCTCCCATGATTCCCGGCGGTGCCCATTTCGCCTGTAGTCTGGGATCGGTCCGGGAGGACTCGGTCTCCCATGATTCCCGGCCTGGAAGCCCGGGCTTCTTTTTTCCTTCCTTCCTGCCCGGGTAATACAGACAGGCCGCTCCCGCCAGGCTTGTAGCTGGCTCCCAGCACACGCGGGTGAAGCAGAAAAAAAGGAGAAAAGAGAAAAACCGTGGAGGCAGCTCCAGCTTCCGCTGCTTTTGGAGCCGCGATCGCCGCGGGGGAATCCGAGGTGCCGGTTCGGAGCTGGGAGAGGGGGAGGGGACGGAGCTCCGGTTCCTGCGGCAGCGGGGCCGCTTCCCACCGGTGCCCGGAACTGGGGCGATCGGGGCTCCCAGGCTGGTACGGGAGAGGTGTGTGGGGCGGGGGTGGTGCGTGGGGCATTTGGGGGACGGCGGGGAGGGTAGCGAGGAGGCTGGGGGGTGGGTAGGACGGAGTTGCAAGCAACGCGGCTTCCCGCCAGCACAGTACAGCGGCAGCGGGAGCAGAGGGAGCAGGAGCAGCCAGCGCAGGCAGGTCCATCCAGACACAGACAGACGTCCTTGGCGGGTCTCTCCCAGTCTTCCCGTCAAGAGGCCTCAGGTACAAGCTGACGGTGCCCTGGGAGGCAGAGCTCACGTCCAGACACACGGCGGAGGTGTGGATGCCCCCCCACCCCCTGCGCGGACACAGAACACTCAGGAGGCCCCCAGACTCTGCACAGACGAGCTCTGCCTCTGCTTCCATCAGTTGCTGGATGAATGTTCTTTGGTGATATTTAAGTTATTCATCATTCTGACTACAAGACAAGGCCAGCTCAGGTCCCCTCTCCTTTATTGCTTAGGGTCTTATCTGGGGTCATCCTTGTGGATTCCTAGGAATTTACTGGAGTCAGGATTCTTGGTAACCCCATAATGGCTCCCTCAATCAAGATATCTCTTTTCTTGCTCTCATCTCTGACCTTCCTCCATCTCAATGATCCCATTTCCTCAAGTTCTCCCCACCCCTCTCCTTTCCCCCTTCTCGTCTCCTACCTTTCTTTTTCCCCCATCCCTGTGTTCCCATTTTCTTTCAGCTGATCTTGTCTATTTTGAATTTCCAAGTGGATCTGTATGTTTTTCTTAGGGTTCTCTTTGTTACTTAGCTTCTAGGATCATGAACTATAGGGTCAATGTCCTTTGTTTAAAGCTAATATCCATTTATGAGTGAGTACACAATACCATATTCATCTTTTGGGTCTGAGTTACCTGACTCTGGATGGTGTTTTCTAGCTCCATTAATTTGCATGCAGAATTTAACATATCTTTGTTTTTTTACCACTGAGTAGTAATCTAACTATATGAATGTTCCACATTTTCTTTATCCATTCTTCAGTTGAGGGGTATTCAGGGTGTTTCCAGGTTCTGACTATTACAAAAAATGCTTCTATGAACATAGTTGAACATATATCTTTGTAGTATGATTGTGCGTCTTTTTGGTATAATGCCAAGAGTGGTATTTCCGGATTTGGGGGTAGGTTGATTGCCAGTTTTCTGTGAAACAGCCATAGTGATTTTGAAAGTGGTTGCACAAGTTTGCATTCCCAACAGTTACTTCACATCCTCTTCAGCTTATGGTATCATTGGTGTTTTTGGACATAGCCATTCTTACAGGTGCTTTTATATTGTTTAGATATCTTTCTTGTACCCCTGATCTCTCTAAGACCTTTATCATGATGGGGTGTCATATTTTTTCAAATACTTTTTCAGCATCTAATGATTTGGTCATATGGTTTTTTTCTTTCATTTTATTTACATGATGGATTATATTAATAAATTTTTGTATGTTGTACCATTCTTGCATCTCTGGGATGAAGCTGACTTGATAATGAAGGATTTTATTTCATGTGTTCTTGTATTTCAGGTCTGAGCAGCTGGGAACAAACAAGCAGCCTCCCATCCATTCCTTAGGGAAGGTAAGGCACATTGCTTTGTGGAAGGTCCAAGGCCCTCTCTACTATATCTAGGCTGATATATAAGTTTCTAGCTTATTGGGTTCCATTATTTATTGTCGTTCTCAGTGTCTATGCTACTGTTGTTATATTTAAAAAGTGGTCTCTTTGCCCATGCATTGAAGGCTACTTGCCACTATCTCTTTTATCAGGTTTATAGTATTCAGATTTATATTGAGGTCTTTAATCCATTTGGACTTAAGTTTTGTGCATGGGATAGATATGGATCTATTTTTATTCTTCCACAGGTTGCCATCCAGTTATGCCAATACTATTTGTTGAAGATGCTTTTTTCCCCATTGTATAATTTTAGCTTCTTTGATAAAAATCAGGTGTTAATAGGTGTGTGTATCAGTATCTGGGTTCCCGATTTGATTTCAGTGGTCAACATCTCTGTTTTTATGCCAATACCAAGTTGTTTTCATTACTGTAGCTCCGTAATGGAGGTTGATGGATTGTGATGCCTCTGGAAGTTCCTTTCCTATACTGGATTGTTTTGGCTATCCAGGGTTTTTAATTTTTCCATGTTAAGTTGATTATTGTTCTTTAAATGTCCATGATGAATTGTGTTGGTGTTTTGATGTGAAATGCATTGAATCTATAGAATGCTTTCGGTAAGATTGACATTTTTATTATGTTAATCCTATTTATCCAAGTACATGGGAGATCTTTCCATTTCCTGGTGTATTCTTAAATTTCTTTCTACAAAAACTTAAAGTTCATTTCATAAAGGTCTTAACTTCTTTGGTTAGTGTTACCCCAAGATATTTTATTTAATTTGTGGCTATTTTTTTATTTTTTTTTAAATATTTATTAAGTATACAATATTCTGTCTGCATATATGCCTGCAGTCTAGAAGAGGGCACCAGATCTCATTACAGATGGTTGTGAGCCACCATGTGGTTGCTGGGAATTGAACTCAGAACCTTTGGAAGAGCAGGCAATGCTCTTAACCGCTGAGCCATCTCGCTAGCCCTGTGGCTATTTTGAAAGGTAATGTTTCTCTGATTTCTCTCTCAGCTCCTTTAGCATTTGTATATAGGATGGCTACTGATTTTTTTTGAGTTGATCTTGTATCCTGCCACATTACTGTAGGTATTTATCACCTGTAGAAGTTCCCCTGTAGAGTTTTTGAGGTCACTTATACATACTATCATAGTGTCTGCAAATAACAAATGTTTGACTTTTTCCTTTCCAATTTGAATCCCCTTGATCCCTTTTTTTGTTTTCATATTGCTCCAGGCATAACTTCAAGAACTATGTAGAATAGATATGGAGAGAGTGGACAGCCTTGTCTTTTTCCTGCTTTTAGTGGAATCACTTTTTCTCCCCATTTAATTTCATGCTGGCTGTCAGGTTGCTGTACATTGCTTTTATTATGTTTAGATATATTCCTTGTATCCCTGATCTCTCCAAGATCTTTGTCATGAATATGTATTAGATTTTTTCAAATGCTTTTTCAGAATCTAATGAGTTGGTTATGGATTTTTTCTTTCAGTTTATTTATATCATGGATTACATTGATAGATTTTTGTATGTTGTACCATCCCTGCATCTCTGGGACGAAGCTGACTTGATCATGGTGGATTTTTTGATGTGTTCTTGGGTTCAGTTTGATGCATTTTGTTAATTATGTTTGCATCTTTGTTCATAAGTGAGATTAGTTTGTAATTCTCTTTCTTGGTTGAGTCTTTGTGTGGTTTTGGTATCATGTTAACTGTACTCTCATAAAAAGAGTTTGGCAATGTTCCTTCTGGTTCTATTATGGGGAACACTTTGAGGATTATAGGAAGTTGTGATAGAATTCTACATTAAAACCATTTGTCTTTGGCATATTTTTGTGAGGCTTTTGATTAGAGCTTCTATTTCCTTACAGTTTATACATCTATTTAAATTGCTCACCTGTTCTTGATTTAATTTTGGTATATGGTACCTAACCAGAAAATTGTCCATTTCTTTTATGTTTTCTAATTTTGTGGAGTACAGGTTTTTGTAGTATTATCTAAGGGTTCTTCTGGATTTCCTTAGTGTTATGTCCCCCTTTTCATTGCTGATTGTGTTAATTTGGATGTATTGTGTTAATTAAGATGTTCTTCCAGTGCTTTTTTATTAGTATGGATAAGGGTTTGTCTATCTTGTTGATTTTTCTCAAAGAACCTGCTCTTTCTTATTGATTGTTTGTATTTTGTAAATTGTTTAATTTATTTCATTCCTCAATTTGATTATTTCCTGTCTTCTGCTCCTGGTCATGTCTGCTTTTTTGTTCTAGAGCTTTTATATGTGGTGTTAAGTCACTAGTGTGAGCTTTCTGTCTGTGCTATGAACTTTCCTCTTAGTACTGCTTTCATAGTGTCCCATAGGTTTGGGTACATTGTGCCTTCATTTTTGTTTAATTTTAGGAAGTCTTTAATTTATTTCTACCTTGACCCATGGGTGGTTAAGTAGTTTACTGTTCAATTTCCACGACTTTGTAGGATTTCTGAGAGTATTGTTGTTTTAAGTTCTAACTTTAAACCTGGGTGATTTTTGAGGATGTTCCATGAGGTGTTGAGAAGAAGGTATATTCTTTTGAGTTATGTGTAATGTTCTGTATGTGTCTGTTAAGTCCATTTCATTCATGGCATCTGTTAGTTTCCTTATTTCTCTGTTAAGTTTCTGTATGGTGGATAGTGGATTGTAGAAGTCTCCTATTATTAGTGTGTGGATTTTGATGTGTGTTTTAAGCTTTAGTAATGTTTCTTTTACATATGTGAGTGCTCTTGTAGCAGATGCATAGATGTTAATGATTGATATTTTATTTTGATAGATTCACCTTGCTATGAGTATAAAGTGTCCTCCTGCATTAGATTATTTTGAAATCTAATGTTAGCTACACCTGCTTGTCTCTTGGGTCCATTTGATTGGAAAACCTTTTCCCAACCCTTTACTCTGAAGTAATGTCTATCTTTGAGGTTGAGTTGTGTTTCTTGTATACAAAGAAGGCTGGATCTTGGTTTTCCTACCCATTCTCTTAGCCTGTGGCTTTCTGTATTCAGTTCATTGATATTAAGAGTTACGGTGAGGGGACTTTTTTTGATCCAGTCTTTTTTGTGTTCTGTAAACTTTTTCTACCTTTGTAGGAATATCTTTCTTTAATTTGGGAAACTTTTCTTGTATGATTTTATTGAATATATATTCTTTGCCTTTCAGCTGGAGTTGTTCTCCTTCCATCCCTATTATTCTTAGGTTTGTTCTTTTTACGTTTTTCCAGATTTTCTGGATGTTTTGTATTAAGAACTTGTTACATTTAATGTTTTCTTTGACTGATGAATTTATTTTATCTAGCTTTCTTCAACCCCTGAGATTCTCTCTTCCATCTCTTGTATTCTGGTGGTTATACTTCCCTTTGTATAGTTTCTGTTCATTTATCCAAATTTTCCATATCCAGAGTTTCCTTTTTTTATTGCTTCTATTTTGGTCTTTAAGTCTTGAACCATTTTCTTCATCAGTTTGACTGTTTTTCTTGGGTTTCTTTGTGAGATTTATTAATTTTTCCCAATTTTTTCTGTTTTTTTCTCCATTAATTGAGTTTTTCATTTCACTTTAACGGTCTTTATTCTCTTCATAAACTTTTGTTTGAAATCATTTTCTTCTGCTTTTACTTGGTTAGGATGTTCAAGTCTCCCTGGTATGTGATCACTGGTTTCTGATGTTACCATGAGGCTTATTAGGTTATTGGATAAATTCTTGCATTGGAGCCTACCCATCTCTTCAATTGATGTTGGCAGTGTCTTTGCTTCTTGGTCCAATTCTTACAGTGTCTGTCTGAGTCTTTGGTAACTGTTCTTGGTCTGCTCTGTGTCTCAGGGAGCCACTGAGGTCCCTTTAGCCTGCTCTCTTGCTCTGTTCTCCTGGGTTGCTCTCCCAGTTCCTTAAAGTGGTCAGTGAGAAGGAAAATAGATGAATGTCCTCCAACTAATCTGTATTTTATTGTGAACTTGAAAATCAAGAGGGACTCATGTAAGAATTGAGTTTACTGACAAACTGTATATCTGGCATAGTCCCAGCACAGAGAGGTATAGGCAAGAAGGAGCATGAAAGCTTTCCCCCTTAGACCATAGCTCACATAAGAAATAGGTAGTGATTCAGCCAACTTTAGATGATTGCTAAATGTTCCGACTGGCCCTTTCTTGCATCCACAGAGTAAGTAATCAAGAAGTGGGATAAAGAACCAAACTTATGAAACCAAATTACAGTATTTTCACTAGTCTGACCAAAATAGAACTGGATAAAATGTTGTGGCACTGCCTGTCCTTAGTGTTACTAATCCTTGGCGTGCTCTAATATAAATTAGTAAACTATGGAGCACATGACTATAAACCTGTTTCAGCTTTTTAGATTGTTTTTTGTGGATTTTAATTACATCATTTATGTCATCACTTTCTTGCTTCTAAGACTTTCCAGAAATGAGAAAAATCATGAATTTTGCTTTATTAAGCGTTGGTGTTTGAATGTGACCTAGTTTTGTCTTCAGAATATGAGTTATGAGGGAAAGGGTTGATTACACTGGTAGTCATGGTAATCCATGACACTGCAATGAAACACATAAACACAAGTTACACCATATTTTGGAAGGGGAACAAGAAGTGCTCTACTAAAATACCAATTTTCCAGACTAGAGCTCTGTGTTCCCCTCAGGTGGAACTGGGGAGGGCTGTGCTGGCTTAGTCATTTGATTTTTGCTCATCTAGTAGGGGAACTGCTACTGTCTTAACTGGGCAATTCTAGCTCTTGATGGACTCTGGGCAAGCCCAGCAATCAGGAGCATTAGTGGGAAGTAGATTGTGAGCCATGACAGAGCCAATAGGGAGCCATGAGAGTTTTTTTTTTTTCTTCCCTAAATTGTATAGTTGATTTCTACCTCCAGTTCTTATCCCACCTTCCTCTGAAGAGGTAACACTAACTACCATTATGGTATTGGGGCAAT